ATCACTTCTAGTCTATGAAAACTACCATATCTCTCACACATGAGACAGCAAAAGCAAGAAGACTAGACTAGTGATTTTGTAAAACCCATCCACTACCTGATCAACTGCAGCACAGCCTTGCTGGATATGACTACTGAAATTCTGTTACAAAGATAAAGGGCTTTTTCCTATTTCAAGTATTTCATCTGGAAAGCCAAGACACATACAAACACTCCATATTATGAGCTGCCTGACGTGTCCAGACTGCTTCCACCCCTCAGCAAAGCTTTCCACCCTGGAATGAGTTTCCCAGCACTTGAGAAGTCTACTCTGAAGATGGCTGGAAAACTCATTTTGGTTGCTTTTGTATGTAGACTGAGGCAAATATAGTGGAGTCTTACACAGTGAAACAGACCCTTTTTTTTCCTGGCTTCGGAGAACCAGTGGTGAAGTTTTGAATTTATTGACAATTCTGCAGCGACATTACCAAGAAAAAACATGAGAAAGCAGAAAGGCAAGCATATTGAAATCACAGGCAGATTATTTTACCTGCAGGCCAGATATGAATCCTGGCTAGGATATGAAGATTTTTCTACATACTTGGCACAGAGCTACCTAAATGTGTAAGCAGTAGTCATATATTGCAGATAGTCATAGGTTGGAAATATTTATTTACCACATAGGCTGTGAGACACAACTAATATACAAACGTAATGGGACACACAGAACAGCAGTAGACGTTCAGGGTTCTGCCCAAGTACGTTCTGCAGTCTTTTTGGACAGTTTTGATTTGAAACATCAGAACAAACCAAAGCTATGGGAAAACAGAACCTTTCTGTAATGTGTCTGTGGGATATTCCTGCAGGAACCTTCTATGACGCTCTGGTTGTTCTCCTAGCAATATGATTTGGGCAAATAATTAATACCTTGTTTCATGGGAAAAAATTAGAGTCAATTGAAACAGAACTTTTAGTAAGTCAAAAACAGCCATATAGTAGAACACCAAGAAAAAAATATCAGCCTGAAGTGCTTTATCTTAGCAAAAACATGGTAGTTCATCTAATTGTTTTAAACAAATTGAAAACAGTTTAAAAATGAAAGACTATTCAAATTCAAAAGCTGAGAAGTTTAAGAATATCAGTATGAAATGCCTGCAGCTGCAGACACCTCCAATGCCATAATATTATTAGTTATATAATAAAGCTGATATTTTACCCATAGTCTGATTCTTCGTATATGACTAGCAAAGTGTTTCAGCAGGTGCTATTTGCAACTCATTCTTGTGACTCACAGGTTAGCCACCAATGTGCAATTCAACATCTCAGTGAGTAACACATCTGCAGAAAACGTCTGTTTTCTACCCACTCCAGCTACGCCACTGGAAAAGGTTACTTCCCTCATCACATCCCCTCTGCCAGCTCCCATCCCTACCTACCATCAGCAGAATTATTTGTGTGAGCACTTCCGAGAGCTAGGTTATCTCAAACGCTGGTGTGAGCTTCACCTCTAAATCGGTGAGCTTAATTCTCTGACTCTTCCTCGAAACGAATTAGGAAGCATTCACACAAACTCCTGTACTAGCAGGACAGAGCGAACAGTACACTCTGGCAGAAGCACAGAAACTATCAGCTGGAGAAACAGTTCCTCCCAGCAGCACAGTCGAATCAGGGAAAGAACAACTTTTGCAGCCAAATTTACGCCTGGTATGCAATAATATTAAAGAACGTAAAAAGAGCTGACTGTACTTAGGTCCATTTTTTAAGTTAAACTCCTTCACATAGTGCCAAAGTCGGTGAGCAAAGAAGGCATAAAGTCCAGATGTGGGGTTGCTAAATTACAACAGCTTCAATGGATTTACGCCAACTTTGGATAGGCAGCCGAGAGCCAGAATGCCCTGTGCTAAAGCCTCACATCAGCACTACGTTGCCCCTGCACTAAGAAAATTCACCCCCAAATAATCAGTGGTCCTTTCGAATGTCCTAGATTGGGGAAAGCAGGTTATAAGATTACTAGGTAATGGAAAGTCAATCTAAGAAGCAAAAAAAGAAAAATACACACATACACACATACATCAATAATGTGCATGTGCTTTTTTTTTTTTTTTAACCTTTTAGCTCACTGTAATTTCTCTAACCTGCTTTAATCGGGATTCCAAATATTAGATTTTAGAATCCACCTTTTACAATCGCTCTCTACTACCATACTGAAGTTGCTTTAGGAGTGGACCATGACAGCTGCTTGGAATCAGACACAGAGTCCACCCTATTTTGTGGTGGTTTTGTTTTAAGAGTGGAAATGGAGACCAATTTCTCAGCTGAAAACACCAATAAAATTTAAGTAGATAGAATGTAAATACTGGAGTTGGAGTTTGGAGACAAGTGGAGAGATAATAAACACACTCTTGTTGTTGGAATAGCTGTACTTGGAGCTCAGTGACGGCTTGGCCAGACCTGCTGAGCTCATTGCCACAAGAGGCCGAGGAACGCGCAGAAGATGACAGATCCTAAACGACTGCCTGCCACGAGCCCTGCCTGGAGGGCAGGAGCTCCGCACGCGCCACGACATGCCTGCACACCTACAGTGGTCAAGGCATCGGTAAGAGATGACCCCTCCACACTGCTACTCTCTCTGCCTTACCACCTGCAAAGTCTGCTTCCCACTGAAACTGCTCCTTACCACATGGGTAGCCTGAAGAAGGCAGGAACATACATTCATTTTCTTCTCCAAGGCTACTCAGGCCCATGTACAACCAGGCCTTCAGTGGCTAACAATTACTTCTTGGCCTCATTTGAGGGTATTATCTACAGAAGCAGAACACCTTTCCCCCAAAAGAAAGGTTCTGGGCTTCTGTATTTGGATCCCCTTGTTTTCAAGTATCCCAAACAGGTGTGAACCAATCCTGAGCTCGGTTTACATGAGGAAAGGCCAAAACGTCTATGGGGAATAATACTCATCTTCCTCACGGCAATAGGTGGGAAAACAGCAGGAACGATTAGAGATGTATCCTTTACAGATATCTGGACTGCTCAAGCTACAGTCGTTGTCCCTTTTCCTCTAAATTCTTGCCTCTGTCATATCACAATGGGGGCTTACCTCTGAATGTGGATTAAGTTAGGGCTTGTTTTAAAGCACAGTAGTAGAAGCTGCATAGCTACCAAATGCCACATACAGATTATCTTCATCTAGAAAAGATTTACTGTGTCCCAGAATAAAGACATCTTCTCACGAACAAACCAGGAAGAATTAAGCAGGAATAACTCCATGAGCAGATAAATCCTAGAAATTTTTCTTTTAGCCCAGAAGTATAGTAGGAAGTCACGTACTCATCATACACAAAAGGTCAATACAGTACAGGCCTCCCCCAAATTACTTGCTGTATACCCATTTCATCTACGAAGTCACAGCTTTAGCTGCAGTTTAGAAAGCCCTACAATGTTTATGGCCTGATATACTTTACTGTCTCCCTTGTGCCTGAAACATATCAGATCAGGTGGATCACACTTGCCGACAAGTCCCAGACATGTATTTTTGAAATCTGGAAGTATTTTTGGTGGAAAGACTCGCAGGTGCAGAACTCCCACAGCTACAGGCTTCTCAGAGCCGACCCACAAGCAGACTTCAATACACGACACATCATCCTGGGTAACTATATCTTGGTTGTTAATGAAGAAGTATACATCTTAGACAGTATAATCACCTTACATTTGACAGTCCATGTAACTGGCCAATATACTGTTACAAACAAGCTGGTGTATACAGTTTATCCTGAGCGAAGGTGGCTAACTACCTTAACTCCAACCTTTTTCTGAGTATGTTAGAAACACTGCTTGGTTAAGTATATAAGTGAACGCCTCCTGTGCCTCTCTTTCTTTGCTTCTTAAATGGTTTCAAAACATAACAGCAGCACACTGTTTCCCTGAAAGCCAGCTGAAAATACACACAGTAAAATCAATTTAGTGTATCTATGTGAGTTATACAAGCATGTCTTCTATCATGGAGTTTACTCAGTACTCCCAACGGTTAAAGAGGTATGGATCCAAGCACTGAAAAACCAACTGGGTCTGCCAAAGGACTTAATGATACTGCACTCAACAAACAGATATTCTGTTTTAAAGGAGGGGATTTAGCAGGCATACTGTTGCTGATCACTTTTCAGGATTTATGCCAGAGGCAAAGCAGGGTATAACACCTCATAAGCGCACACAAATCTGTAAGTGTGCCTGCCTTATGGGACAGAAAAGCAAAAAATGTGTATTTTAAAAACCCCTTAAATCTCTGGATTGTAACTATCACTATGCCATCAGTCCTCTGGATCAAGTTTCTCAGGCAGAGCAATTTATAGCAGCCAGACCGAGTACCAGGCCTTGGTGGGGCCACAGAACTGTAAGAAGCATTGTGAACTGCAAACTTAAGCTCTCCGGAAAGATGACGTGCAAAAAGGCACTATTGTTTTCATATGGCTGTTCCATGTAAACGGGAAACAGAAAAGAAGCTGGGTACACCGGAATCCTCTTAACTGTACAGAATTTTCTTTCCTGCATTTGTCTTTTCAAATAATATGAACCACACAATACAATTAGGTTATCGCTCAACAAAATTTTGGAGGACTGAGCTCCACCCACTAGGAAAACGAAAGTAATTGCACTTCCCTTCAGCATCACTGTGTGTCTCAGACCCACTGCATACTCTGCTCCACACAGTCTGCTATATAAACCCCACATGAGGCTGCTAAATACTTGGGAGAATGCTGCGTCCTATACTTAATGGTCTCAGTGCCTACTTTTGATAAATTACCATGCATGCAAAGACTGATAAAGTTGCTATTTCCTTTCACCACAGCACACCGACATTTTACAGAATGCTCCAAATGGATGTTTGTTGTCCTTTTGTAGAGCGTGGCAGCAGACATTAAAACGGGTGTTTCGGTCAGCCAGGCATGCTGATTTGCTTCAGAAAAACAATCTAGCGGAGCTGAGGAGCTCTCCTTTTTTCCTCCCACACACTGTTTAACTGTGGAATACCTTGGCTATTTCTGTGCTTTCCGCTACCATGAAAGTGAAGCTGATGTTCACCAGATCTGTGCCACTGCAAACACACACTATCCGTCCTTCCAACTCATTTTCTGATTTTCCAACAGCCTCAAGTGCAGTTAGTATTTTGGGATCCTGTTAAACAGAATAAATAACTTGTTACATTTGCAATACCTTTTTATTATGCAATACACTATGGCAAAGATGCATTTCCGTCTCCGTATGCATTAACATCTTTAAACCTTTGCCCGTCACCTTAAATGAGTGCTTTCATTTAGAATTCTTGTGATAAGCCCAAAAAACAATATATTCTAATAATTATGAGCATAATTGTGAGAGCTCAGAAGTAAATGAAGTATTTTAAATACATTTCAGAGAGTTAAATTAAAAATTACATACATTACAGTCATGAAGAAGAAAAATGAATCACTCCAAGGACTGGAAGGAGAGCGAAGGTTTTAATCTCTAAGTAAATTATTCCAATCTAGTTAACTCTGTAATTACTGAAAGTTATGATCTGTACAACTTTTGGTTGTTTCTTAATGATATATCTTACGAGCTGATACCTCTGCTGAAGGTCAAAGGCTATGGACTTAACGGGCATAGAGAGCAAACTACCCATGTACAGACAGAGGTGAAGTCTGAAGCACGTTGATATGGTTGTCTGCAGATGAAACGTGAGGTTGTCTGCACTACCACTTCTCGTGCCCCTTTTCTGCAGGGGAAACATTTTAGTCTATCAACTCTCAAGAGAACTACGAAGAAACGGTTGTCTACAGTTAACACAGTAATGCTTATTGCTTCAAAGTGGAAATGCAAAAGTGTTAACAGACACCTTGCTGGACAACAAATCTTCAAAACTGAACATCTGAAGACAGGCCCAAATTTCATCTCAGAAAATTCTATATATGCTTTCTGCAGAATACCATTGAAAATATTTCCACAGCTTTGTTTTTTTGTAGAACTCTAGCTAGTTCTTCTGCTGATGTTCTTCAAAAGGGCAGACAGTGACCGCTTGCTCTAGTGTACTGCTGCCATCCCTGACCATCTAACTGTATAAAAAGGGATGCAAATAAAACTTCCTAGTTTTTATGTTAGTGAAACAATAAGATATAGCAAATTTTAAATAGATAGGAAAAAAAATGGAATAAGAAATATTGTCTTCCAGATTCCTAGAACAAGTATCACAATGAAATGTTACAAAATAATTAAAAATTATGGATACAAACACTTAACATTTCTTTTCCAGCTTTCACAGTGGCCTGAAAGCAGAGTGCTGCACTGAATCAGAAAGACCAGATACAGAAACTTCACACTGCAATTACACCAAATCACTTAAGTTTAAAACTTAAAATTTTAGAATACAATCGCAAAAGAAAAGTTGTGTTGCTGGTATTTTGTAACTAGATGAACTGCATTCTGCACTTCACCTTCATTTTAAATATTTGCTGTTTAAAGGAAGAGTATAAACTAACTGAAGAGTACCTTTGGTACAGCTCCAAAACGAACACTGTTGATCAGGGAGCACTCTAATACCTGTCCTTCCTGAAACAGCAAGAAAAGGTACATGAGTTCAAAGGTCTGTTGACACATGGCTCCATGTAGGAAGTGCCCCAAAAATAAACAATGAGTCTTATTTGCAAACACTGTTAATTAACACTAAACAACGCATTTCCCCTTCACATCTGTTAATTCCCTCTTAAGTACTTCACTTCTGTAAATTCTAAAAGAGCAGGACTAAGGCTAGTTTTGTAAACAAAGTCATACAGTATTTTAAATTTTAAAAAATTAGTAATATGTAACATATATTACTGACATAACTGTAATATACCTTTCCTTCACTTTTCCAGCTCAGAAAAAAGCCAAATTCATCCACTTGAAAGAGACAGTTGGTTTCAAAGACAAAAGATTCCTATAGAAAAGAAAGTACAGACCAATATTTTAGTGACTCTGACAAACGCCATAAATTAATTTACTGATCAAAAATAAAAGCTTGTTACATTTTCCCCCAACTGTCTTCCTAGAGAATTTGCCATTTTCAAGCAATTTGAAATGATGAGTGAGGCTTATAACTAATGATCAATTTTAGCAATTTGAGACATTAGGATGCCCTTAATTAATATTTTCCTACCTCTCTTTGCAACCATGAGGGTTTTTGGTTTTATTTTGTTTCAATAAAAGCAGTGATTCTTACCTAATCAAAAACTTCAGGGAAACAGAACTTCAGAAAAACTCCAAAATATGAAAAGGTTAAAATTATGCAGTCTGCCAATACTGCACTTGGGATCAAACCACCATATTTCATTGTAACATTTAAAATTCAGAAGTGCTTCTCTGTTTGACTGTCACAGTACGTATGTCACAAGTATTTTGTAGTGAGAGTATCAGGCAAGCAGAGTTTGAAGGATACTGACGTGTAGAGAAAACAAGAAAGCATGGCATACCAAAGAGACTAGACAAGGCAAAAAATTAAATGGGCTGAATTAAGGGATTTCCCACACACACCTCCAGCCTCAATTAATATATCAGAAATCAAGCAAAAACGTAGGGAGACATCACACTGTGCAGAATCAATCATTTTTTAAAGGAAAGAAGGACTTCCTGAATTAAAAGGCAACAAAAATGCATGTGTGCAGGCGAGAGCACTGCTTAGTGCTTCAGAGTTCAATACTTTGTTCTGTGTTAAAGACAAAGACTGGGGAACCTTTCTGATATGCCATGTCCTCTCCCTTGCATATAGCATGGGTAGCAAACACATGAATATACAGCACCATTTTCAGAGTAAAAGATCTTATGCAAAGGACAATTTGAATTTAGGTAACTAAATGGGTACAAACTCCAACACCCTCCATCCATGGGGCATGCTTTAAAATCAGTAGGTCTTTCCAGGACAGGCTGGTCTCACTGGGTATGTGGTGTCTCTGAGGTACCACTCCAGGAAACAAGGTATGGGACTTACCCATACCTTCCAGGGGCAACCTTTTGATGCCTTTTTGGCCTTTGCCATGGAACAAGGGTGTGGGTTGGGCTAGGGGAATGGTCTCATTCTGGTCAGGTCTTCATCAGAAGCTGGGCATGAAGTTGAGGTTGTACCAGGATCCAGGGTCTGGGAAACGTCCTCGAGCTCCCCTAGATGAACACAGCCAAAGGGGATAATTGTGCTGTGCTTGGGATAATTGCTCCTTTGCCATGGACACATTCATTATTGAATGCTGTCTATCACTTCTGGGCAACATTTTTTGTTCTCAAATCAGATTTACAGAACTAAGGTTCTGACACACCAAAGTTCCCCATCCAAGCAGCAAACAATTATCTTAATTTTACAGGCAGGGGAGCTGATAGGAAGCAGGAAGTTGCTGCAACTCAGTCTGAGCCAATTCCACAATGCAGGAGTTTCCACTGGGCACAGCTCTTCTCTTTCTCTTCTTTCTCTTCTTTCTTTTCTTGCTAGCCTTGACTTGTCCCACTGAATTATTTTTTCTGCAATTTCCCTTCTTGTATAGCAAATAAAGCATCTACTATCAGACCATGTAGCTGCAAAATGATCAGTAAGGTTCCTAACCACCTTTGGTTTCTTCTTCCCGCATTGTGCTGAGATGACTAGTCCTGTTCCGGACTCAAACTCTTCAGCAGTCAGATATGATAATGTTTAGCTCAAAATCTATTTCCATAATTTTGTAATCCTTCTGGTTAAGATACTCATCTATCAGTAAAAGATGGATAAGGACACTGCTCTAGATTACGACCTAGATTTTTCTCGTCACTCAGTGAAACTTGGGAACACAAATGTCTCATGCTGTACTAGAGCTGTTCAGTCATCAGGACCCTCTAGCAGGATTTCTGAGCTCTGTACTGACTTGCTATACGACCTTAGTACTAACCATTGTTTTTCCTTCTCCCCATGTGGCCTTGTCTGCTAAGGTAGGGAACTAAACACAGAATTTCAATGAAAATTGGAAGCGCAGATTTGAAATATTTCTCTTGAAAATTGCAAGTCCTATAGTATAGCCACTGGCTCTTGCTATGTTTGCATAGCATGCCCAAAAGCATGGTGTCTCTCTCTCAGGTAGGCTATCTAGTTACTACCACAATTAAATAACAGCCTATGTATCTCAAAAATCTGATGATATCAAAGAGCCAGACCATCAAGTTCTCACTGTTTACAGGCTACACATCTTAACTTCTGAGCCACTGTTTTTGCAGTCCTTGATTCCTGTAACATTCCAGATGAAATATGCAGTTAGATACATGGGTATCTAACCCATGTAAATGAAAGCCTTCAATGTTTCCAGAAGAGTTCCCTTCAACAAAACTAATCAGACTTCCAACTACCCATACCAAACCTGGCGCAACCCATAGCAAAACTTGCAGCAAGGAATGCAGATAGAGAGTATCGCACTTACAGATGGACAACAGTTGCACCAAAGGTGGTAAGTAGCACTCCTTTCTCCGGTGTTTTGGAAAGCAGCAAATTCAGCTGCAAGGAGCAATACTTAACAGCACTGACATCCCACCCCACGGCTGCTCAGCGTCTCCTGCTGGCTAACCCTGCATGGCTGCCTGCTGGGTACACCCAACTACAGTGCAAAAGGGCTTGGTTTTGAGATGTCTCACTTTCCCTATCACAACGTCAAGGATCCTGGTGCCTCACTGAGGGTTCCTGATCTCACTCACAGATGTGGGCACTTAAACTCTGTTCTGTATCTTCTCTCACTAAGGCGTGAGAGAAGAGCCATAGTCACACAATGGGCCATACTCATTCACTTAGGTCCAAACAGGCCAAGTTTCTGAAATGGCATTTGCTAAGGGAAAAAATGTAGCTTTTACGAACCTCCTTTCTGAGACTGGTATTCAATGTCCACTAGTGTCTTATTAGTTTATCTATTCCCAAAACTGAAAATACCGGGTACTACAACTATCCTCACCTTGGCAGTCCTCATGATAAAAAATACCTTTTGCTTATATTTCCAAAGATAAGAGGAAAATACTAATATCCCTGAAGGCGCTTACCAAGACACTTTCAACTTAAGAGATTTCCTGTCCAAAAAAGATTAAAAAGGCCCTGATAAAACTATTCTCACAGGCATATCAATGTGGAATACAAAGTAAATGCCTAGGCACTTTATTTTGGCTGTCTGTGTAAAATGTCCCATTTTGAATTCCTTTAATACACTTGGATTAAAGCACAGCTGAAAGCAGGATCACAGTAATCACATTTCAGAGAGAGTACAGGTCGATTTTCTAAAGGAGATAAAAACATTCCAGACCTCAAATGATGCATCTGACTCAAAATATAAATGTTTTGTGCTCTTTTCCTTTCCCGTGTGAGATGTAGGTCCCCAGTTCACATGTAAAAGATGACAGACTCACACCAGATTTGATACATGCACAAAAAAATGGAAGGATGCACTTTGTTCAGTAATGTGCTTTGTGGAACTGCAAAGATGAGAGCTTTATGCACATTATAGATATTTTGATCCAAATCTCCCCTTTCTCTTGCTCAGGGATTATTTCAAATCAGAAGATTAAATATGTTTTAAGGTTATTTCTTTTAAAAGCAAAAAACTGCAGGGCGATAAAGTGTGTCAATATTTCCTCCCCACACACATTCCTGGAGTTTGTGTGCGTACAATGAAAATAAAACATGAAATATTCTGTAACATCCACATATTTAAAAGAGACGAGCAAACGAAAAGTAACTGGCCCCTTACCTCTTCATATCTATCAAACACAGCTCCATCTTGCATAAAAGAGGGAACTGGCTTCTGCCAGTTAAATTCATAAGGTTTTGCCATGATTACAGAAGAAAAACCTAAAATGGAACGAAAGAGCAGAGTTCAATTGCTGTCTTTTAAAAGGAATATTTCATAGTCTGAAAAGGAAAAAAAAACAGTGACTTTAGCTTTTCTTTTGACACAGTAGGAGTATTAGAAAAAAATCATAGTGCACTTTCAAATCAAGAGTTTTCCTCATAGGCATATTTTCATGTTTCGTAAGTATAACTTTAAAATGAAAAACGCTCCTAAAATGCGTGACTGCACGTAATTATTTGAAAAACCATGTGGACTCTAATATTGCATTAGTTTAAATATCTGTTACATCACTTCTAGAGCATAATTAGGCTGGGATTAATGCAGCCCCAGGTAATAGAATATCACTGCTGGTAATATACACAAGTGCTTCTTTTTCATAGGAAAACATCATACACCAAACATGATATATTTTTTTAATGCTCTAAATAGCATTCTACATAGGAAGAACACATTTTTCTTCAGAGTTTTGTCTTTCAGAATTCATTTATACTAAACACAGTCCTGGGTATTTTCAGTGATATTTTTATACATAGCTAAAGATATGGATAATATATAGGTCAAGATTCATAGGAAAAAAGCCTGTTTAGGAATGTAGGGCATGAAATAAAATTAGCTGCCAGTGTTGTACATTTTGTGCAAGTTTAGGAATGTGAACAAAATAAACCGTTAACATAGAATCTAAAAGTCACCACATACAGTCCTTACAAAAACGCCCCACCAAATTATTCAGTATCCCTTCCAACACCCTGGTGCCTCATAGGGTACGTTACTTTACACCAATACATGTCCCAACTACGTACTCTGTGAAATACTACAGTTTACTGTATCTGAAATAAAGTGCATCTGCACTGTGCCTGCTTACTAATGCCATCTAGGACATACAGTATGTTGGCTATTCCTTTACACAATAGACCAGAAAGTCTTGCACGAGAAGGAGTACACTAGCAGTGGTAAGATAGGATGGCAACTCTGCCTCATAGATGTCAGAAAATCCATTTTGCAAAATGGTGCAATAAGGACGAATGCAGCACAAGGTCATAATAATCTGATCTGACATGCTACCGCCTGTCTCTCAGGCGAATGCAACCATACCCTGCTCTCATATGCTTGGCCTAGCCCTCCTCTGACACCTGCTTCAGAAAGGCTGCTAAAGAAAAGGTAAGAATAAAAGCCTGTGCACAATGCTCTGACTTGGAAGCTCTTTGGAGAAGCTAGGACGTTCTTGGGGGCCCACTACTTGTTTCTGGAGGAGCCCGAAGAGTCCTCTGGCTCGGACTCACCCTTGCTCAGCACAGGTCTGAACTGCTGTTTCTTCCTTGCATGTTCCCAAGGAGAGTCTAGCACAGATGGTGGCACTGGACCTAAGCTCCTGGCCCAGAAGGATCCCTGCTGACAAGGAACAGGATGCGTCTTTCGCAACTGGGGCTAACGTGCAATTGTTAGACCGTAACAAATAAAACCCATTCCACATGGGGACCATGCTAAGCCAAGCTGCTCCAAGAGCAAACCCAACACTGCAAGTCATAACTCAGTCTTCCGATTTCCTTTGCTCCAGAAGATGACAGTCTTCACCAGCCCTTAACTTGGCACTGATTATGTCTTACCTTTGTTGGAAAGATGTAGAGAAAGGAAGAAAGCTGTCATCCCAAGGCCCTGTCCATTCCCCACACTTCACTCCCTAGCCCTCACCCTCTTGAAGTGTCAGTGATAAGTCCCTGCCCCCAAAGTGAGGATTAACCCAGGACAAAGAGATTGCTTTTCCCCCACACTGTGTTTGAAATGAGATTCAGCAAATCCACGAAGGTCAGAAACATCTAGTTAATTACTGGAAGAAGGAAGTGAATCCTGAGAGAAGGATTTCGCTATACGTGCCTTCACCTACTTCATCATCCACTACTGATCACCTCTAGGAAGAAGACACAGGGCTAAATTTATCCAGTACAGCTATTCCTCTGTTATAATGCAGGCATCAAGTCTAAGTAAAGTTTGTCCAAATGAGAAGAATAAAAAGCATACATAAAATTCAAGGGAAAGCATAACAGCCCACGTAATCCATGTTATACAAACTGTCTTTGCAGTGTTTGTGTATGCCAGAACTCTGAACAGCAGACTAAAATATTACCAGTTAGGTAGCAATGCTTCCACACTGCTCCTGGACGAATGTCTACTTGGACACAACTTCAGGGAAAGAATAGGTGCAAATATTTAAAAGATGAAAAATTGAGTAGTATCTTTCTTTGTCATGTTCCCCTTCTTATTAAAAATGTTCTAACAATAATAAGAACAAGAACAAGTACTATTCAAGGACTCTGTCCAACATGGGTTTTAAGAACAATCACTTTTGCTATTTTTTTACTGAAAAAACCCCTTATTTAAAAGAAAATGGAAAGTACAGTTTCATGCTGTCCCTCTCCATCTCCTGCCTTTGTTTCGTTCATCAATATATGAATATCAAAAATACAGATCATGTTTCTAAAACCTTATGAATACATTAAATGAGTTCATTCTCTGTAACTATCAAAGATACAATATGACAGTAACATGCCACACCATTAAGTGTTCACTCCTTTTGAAGATGGCATGAAAACTCAAAACAACCTCTCTGTGCTCTCCAATTAAAAGAGAGGCTAAACAAAATAAATACAGGACAAGTGACTAGGACAAAAAAAGTCATCAGCTATATTCAGTGCTCTATCAAAAGCCCCCTTTTTGGCCCTACGTATTTGGCTTTTTACCACTCTGTAAAAGAGGAATAATATCTTCCTCATAAGGGCTGTAAGATGCTTTGAGATCCTTCCAGGGAATGTGCCAAAATATTATATTTTTATTATTATTTAAAATACTCTTATAATCTTAGGTTCTTTTTTGGCTTAGGTCAGCACAGAGCTGCCATCTCCTCGTTCCATGGAAAAAGCTGAACAACAGGACAGACATCCCTCAGCAGTAGTGTGATGGCATCCTGTTCTGGGCAGCTCACAGACTTCATGCAGTAGCCCAGGATAATCACAGCACCTTGAAAACTTAGTGCTGGTTCTTATTGCAGAGCTACATTTAGACAAACACAGCTTCAGAAATCAGTTTTCTGACTTCACAGGCTTTGTTAACTGCAAAAGTTGAAAATATAACCAACAAAAACGTATACTATGTAACAGCTCCTCAAAGAACAACTCTTGGAAAAATATCCCTTACAGTTAAAGGAAACTTAAAACATACACACTCAAAGTGATACACATTCCATTTTTACAGCATACTGAGCCTTCCCATGTAAATATACTTTTATCTGTTTAAATGACTTTTACTATCAGAATGTACTAGAGAAGTAGGCTCACTTCAAATACAAGATAGGTAGTTTATGCACCAAAACACACTGCGAGCATGCAAAGTTTTTCTGGGAAAGGCAGATGCATTCTATGCTAAATCATAAAAAATGTGATGACGCTTTTAAGGCTGTGAGGAATTCTCTTCCACAGTCCCAACATTGTATCCATGGTCTTTACCCTTTTTTATTAATATTGAAGTCCATAAGTCACAGATTTTAAGACCTGCATACTCCTCAATTGCTCTGAACTCCTGTATAAGACAGCCCTTAACATGTTACCCAACATCTGGTACTCTGAGTCCTGTAATGTGCTCGAACTGACACCTATCCTTCAGAAAGGCTAATTACCTTAGCACTACAAACATGCACTTTATTGCCAATTTGAACGTTGCTGAGTTCATCATACAGCCACAGAACCATAGCCCTGTAAAAAAATCCTTCCTTTACAGATATATCTTCTCCCGGTCCGGGTACTTACACAGTACGATGAAGTTGTCTCGTTACTTCACTGCTGATAAACTAAACAGATTGAGCTCTTCGGTTTCTTGCTGTAAACATTTTTCAAAAGTCAGAGGCGCTCTGAACCCCCTCAAGTTTTCCAGCTGCCTTTCTAAAGTCAGGAGTCCGGACCAGGACACAGTAGCCTAGTACAGCCCTCTGTCATATGAGCCAGAATTATAGTCTTATTTGTATAACCTTGCATTTAGCTGCGTGGAAACATGCTTGCTTGATTGCTCACAATTTACCAAGCAATTAAGTTTTATGCTTGGGACTTGAGCTCATTGCTATTTACCATCTTACCTATCTCTTCTCTAGCTCTACTCACAAGTCGATACAGTTTAGAGATGAACCAAGAGAGATGAAGTGTGAGGGAAAGATGGTCTGAGTACATGCAGCAAGGCGTCAGCTGAATTGTAACAAACCAGATCTTTAAGCCATATACTTTAGCAGCTGTGCAGAAGGTGAAGAAAAATTTATCTGCCTTCACAAGAGCTCTTTTCAGTCTCATACATCTCTTCTCCTCCTCCCCAAAACCTGTTATTCCCTAACCCTGTCACCTTTTAAGATGTCACCAAAAAACAAAAAACAAAAAAATCCTCAAATACGTATTCTAGCTTTCACTTGATTGCAAATAAATGCATGCATATACTCCTATCATGATGAGGATTAAGAACTGCACACTTTAAAGATGACATTTAATAACAATGAAATGCCTGAAGACTCAACTCAGAGAGATAACAGATTTAGGAATTAAATTTAAAGGCAGTCAAATTGTAATTTTAAAACTTTTAAATGCCCCTTATGAGTTAAAATCAAAATCCTCTCGCTGATTTAGGATTCTTAAAATATAAAAATGCCTCTGAACACATACCTTCCACAAAGAGCAGACAAAACACTCTTATAAAATACACTCTAGGACTTGATCAGTGACCACAAGGAAGAAGTAGATGAAGTCTCTCAAGTTCAGCAGTTAAATGCCCTTTGAGCTGTCTCCTGTCCTTTAAACACTGAGGCCATCATTTAGGTCAAAAGGAAAAAAGCACCTTTTGAATCACTTGCAGTACCTAAAGAGTGAGGCCACAAAATTAACCACATCCGTAACAACATTATTTAACATAAAAATCTTCCTGTTCTGTAAGCTTAGCTGTACTAACCTAAAACGGGGCCGGGAAGGAGACA